ATAAGACCAGGACCAGCAACACAAACACACAACAAGACCACAACCAGGGAACGAAACACAACATCTTATAAGAAACACAAAATATACAAGACGGGGCGCCACGTCCCATCAACTCACCAGGAAACAAATGAGGAAAATTTATAATAAATTTGAGAGAGAGACAAGATGCAACGCTCCATGACCGAGAGACCTTGAGGAAGGAGGGAATGGAAGGGAAGGGAGAGGAGGAAGGGGCAAGAGGAGGAAGGGGGCAAGAGGAGAGGGGGGCAAGAGGGGGATACACGAGAGGAGAGAGGGGGAAGCTGAGGCAAATAGAGACGCGAAGATGTGGCGTGAAATATAATGATGAAATATGTTGGCAACATTTTCTTGCAAAATGTTGAGTCAAGATCAGATGACGGAGTCCACCTGGGGTAGTGTTGTGTTGATGGACTCACCTACATGTACTCTCCTACATGTACTCACCTACATGACGTGACGTGTTCCTCCCTGACATGTTGCATCAGGAAGTTCCTCTTTGCTACTTCTACAAGCTTTTCTCTCCATGTTTCATCTCTTTTTTGGGCCATTGTTTCCTAGATAATTTTGTCATGGTTGAAGTCTCCCATTAACTGCAGCTTTGCATTTAGTCTATGGGCTGTGTCTGTCAGTCCTTTGAGGATGTACAGACGGGGTCTGTGTCTTCATATTCCTGTCTCTGTCCTCTGTGGTTCTCTGGTGGGGGAGGGGGAGGGTTGTAGATTATAGCTACAACCACTTTCTCACCATCCAGTGAAAGGATTCCAACAATGCAGTTCCTGTAGCTATTTGTCACCTTCAAGGAAATCACTTTACTGATCTTGGTTCAGTTCACCAGTAGCGCCACACCACTTACACCTCTTTGTTGTTTTTCACTTCTCACTGTGTGCGTGTGTGTGTGTGTGTTTACTAGTTGTGTTTACTAGTTGTGTTTTTACGGGGGTTGAGCTTTGCTCTTTCGGCCCGCGTCTCAACTGTCAATCAACTGTTTACTAACTACTATTTATTTATTTATTTATTTTTTTTTTCCACACCACACACACACACACCCCAGAAAGCAGCCCGTGACAGCTGACTAACTCCCAGGTACCTATTTACTGCTAGGTACCTGGGGCATTCAGGGTGAAAGAAACTTTTGCCCATTTGTTTCTGCAACGTGCGGGAATCGAACCCGCGCCACAGAATTACGAATCCTGCGCGCTATCCACCAGGCTACGAGGCCCCGCCACCAGGCTACGAGGCCCCCTGTGTGTGTGTGTGTGTGTGTGTGTGTGTGTGTGTGTGTGTGTGTGTGTGTGTGTGTGTGTGTGTGTGTGTGTCGTCCTACGGCTTGTGTCACATACTGTTCCTGCAGTTTGTTTCTTTACTTCTTTTGGTGTTATTTCAGTGAGGATTTCCTGTGCAATTTCCTGTTCAGTTTAGGCTCTAAGCTTTAGTTGTAAAAAGTTTTAGTGTGTGTGTACTTACCGATTATTGTCCCCGGGACGAGTCACATCTAGCTTTGTGTGCCCAGCCTGTCACCCTTGTTCCTGCTGCCTCACAACCTAACTACTCTGCCTTTAAAGTACTTTGTTGAATTGGGCCTAAAAGTTGTGGTAGGAGGATGGACACACACACACACACACACACACACACACACACACACACACACACACACACACACACACACACACACACACACACACAACGGGGTCTCGCGGCTCAGTGGACAGCGCTCTGAAGTTGCAATCCTAAGGGCCTGGGGCCAGATTCACGAAGCAGTTACGCAAGCACTTACGAACCTGTACATCTTTTCTCAATCTTTGGCGGCTTTGTTTGCAATTATTAAACAGTTAATGAGCTCCCACGCACCAGGAGGCTGTTTATAACAATAACAACAGTTGAATGGGAAGTTTTCATGCTTGTAAACTGTTTAATAAATGTAACTAAAGCCGTCAAAGATTGAGGAAAGATGTACACGTTTGTAAGTACTTGCTTAACTGCTTCGTGAATCTGCCTCCTGGGTTCTATCCCCAGCAGCGGCAGAAACAAATGGGCAGTTTCTTTCGCCCTGAAACCCCTGTTCACCTAGCAATAAATAGGTACCTGAGAGTTAGACAGCTGCTACGAACTAATTCCTGGGGATGTGTGTGTGTGTGTTAGAGAGAAATATATGTAGTAGACATGGTAGAGAAAAAATAAATTGGTTAGAAAGGCGGGGTCCAAGAGCTAATAGCTCGATTCTGCAGATAGAAATAGTAAAATCCACACACACTCATCAGCAGAGCTGGGAAACAAAACGAACATTTTTTTCTATATTGAACAACATAAATAATAAAATAAGAAAAATTTAATTCAATACAGTTTTTACGGCTGTGTTATCAAAATGAATTTATGCAGCACTAGCCATCAGTGTGGGAGTGTGGGAGAGAGTGAGGGAGTGTGGGAGAGAGTGAGGGAGGGAGTGTGGGAGTGGGGGATTTGGGAAGTGAGAATGTGAGGGAATTGCGGAGTGAATGAGTGAGTGAGTGACTGAGTGAGTGAGTCTGATGGGGAGTGAAGGAGTGTGAGTTTGGGAAAAAGTGGGAGAGTGAAGAAGTGGGAATGGGGGAGTAGCGGATTGAGTGAGTGAGTGAGTGAGTGAGTGAGTGAGTGAGTGAGTGAGTGAGTGAGTGAGTGAGTGAGTGAGTGTGGAGGAAGGGAGAGAGGGAGTAGAACGTTTCTCAAACAATGTTTCATTCTCTTTCAATGTTTAAATCATTCCGTTCTTATGAACAAAATAAAAAAGTGATTCCATGCACCCGCCAAACCCCCTGTTTATGCCTGAACAGCACTTTACACACGACTCACGACTGATGACGTTCGAACACTTCCGGAACAAGTGCTTCGCTCACGTCCTCAAATTCGAATTGTTGTTCAAACCACAAGTCTATAAATGCTTCACCCACGTGCTTCAAATACAAATAATCGCCAACAGACCCTAAACACCTAACATAATTTACGTCTAATTATAAATAGAACTTTAATATGTATATAGTAATATTAATATTCAGATGAAAAGAAACCTGTTTTTAATATACAATACGATAAAATTTATGAATGATTCATGGGGGAACGGCCGAAGCTTTAACGAGCCTGGCCTAAGGACGAACTGCAGTTAAGTGATTGGAGTGAGAGTGTGTCCACGGAGGATATTATCTCGAATGATCCGGGAACACTTGACTAGTCTTAAGGACGATCCGGTAAGGGTAAGTTGGATCAAAATGTTCACTAATGAGAGTTTTATAGAGATTAAATGCGGTATTTAAAGTTTCCTCAGTGACCTTGAACCACCATCACCTGACACGTGACCCCACACCTAATCCAAGGTCAAAGGGTCACGAGCCTCATTGTTGTGATTGAGTAAGAATCAAGTGTTGATTGGTGGAACAGATTCGAAAGGTAATCTGTGGATTAGTTTCTCCAGACACAGGCTACCTGAAGTTGTCTACCTGTAACTACCTGAAGCTGTCAGCGTGAAGAGTGACACACTCTCTCTTTTGGAGGGATATCAGGGGAAAGCGCTAAGCCATTACGACTATATAGCACTGGGAAGGGGTCAGGATAAGGAGTTGTGATGGGACGGGGGGCAAGGAATGGTGCCCAATTTCACGAGCTCACTTGCCGACGGTCACGGATTGAACGCCGACCTGCATGAAGCGAGACCGTCGCTCTACCGTCCAGCCCAAGTGGATTGTCTCATAGTCTGTCTTCGGGACTATTAATTCTGATATTTGATCCAATAAATAATTGTGGTTGAACACGTGATTGATTAAGACAACTGAGACGGCTAATTATCCTCAGTGGGACGGCGTCTTGGCTTTTTACTTACGATTTTCTCGAATTGTGTATTGTAGTGATTGTTAGTCACAATAACTTGGCGGCTACGTTGGAGTTCACGTTGCAAGAGCTGCCAAGAAGAGTATAAGTATTGCACGACCCACATGTGCAATAATGACGCTTCTCGTATACCTTTTTCAGTGCTGCCACTCTTACCGTTCGTATATTTACCTGCATCAGTTGGTTTACGGTACACTGTGACGAGTCTACCAGATTTACCATCCAGGTCAACATCGAGGAATGGCGTCCTGCCTTCCACACCTTTCTCGACAGTGACTCTCAAGTCTCAGACTTCTTAAAGCCGGCCCTCGAAGCCTCTCTAATGTAATCTCGTCGTCAACACACACGAATATGTCGTCGAGTATATACTGAGGCTCAGGCCAGCCATCTGAAGGTGGACGCTAATGCCTGGACGAACACGGCACCCAACGGGGCCTCTGGCCACCCCATCAACCTGGAAATAGAGCTTGCTCACTGGACTCGGTAAAGGAGCTTCAGTGTTGCAGCCCCTCAGCTTATCCTGCAAGATTGCTCGAGGAACCTTGGGTGCAGACAAGTGCTCTTGTTGATACACATACTATTATGTTGATGGTCCTTTCCACTGGTAGTGAATAGACTTTCAACGTCAAGGGAAATTAAGATCCGGCGGAGTTCTCTCATTTTAAGAACGTCGATGAACTCATTATTGGGTTTTAGGAAGAACGCGATCGGGATGTATAGCGATATTATCTGGTTCAATTCCTTCGGGAGTTCGTAGATAGACCCGAGGATCTGAGAGACTTGGAGGTGGCTAGATTTGCAGGTCTTCACAGTACTATAGAAGTAACTGGGGTTCAAAATCACAGTTGTTACTCTCTCGAATTGTTGGCTTGCAATTTCCGCTTATGTTGCCTCTGTGTAAACGTTCACACGTGTTAAGATTCTCAATTGGTCTCTTGTAATAACTTTCAATTTACTTTATACTTATATTTTTGACCCGGCCTAAATCCTGGCAAGATAATCTCGTGCTTTAAGAGAAATTCCAACTTTTTATAGCATTTTCTGATTGAAAATTACTTATATAAAAGCCCTGTGGGTTTGTTTACATTTAAATTAAACATGATATTTTTTTGTTTACTGCATGTCTATAAATGTGATGAGTTGAGGGCTTCGGGCCGACCTCCTCCACACCTGTTTGGAATACTCAATGAGCCTGAGTCACCTGGACCAGGTGGGGGCGTGCAGGGAAGCCCAGGTGAGCCCAGGGCGTCCAGGGGCGTCCAGGGGAGCCCAGGGGAGCCCAGGGGCGTCCAGGGGCGTCCTGGGGGCGTCCAGGGGAGCCCAGAGAAGCCCAGGGGCGTCCAGGGGAGCCCAGGGAAGCCCAGGGGCGTCCAGGGGCGTCCAGGGAGCCCAGGGAAGCCCAGGGGCGTCCACGGGCGTCCAGAGGAGCCCAGGGGCGTCCAGGGCATGTTCCCTTGTGCTGCTCCTCTTCTCTCCTTCATCTCCTCTACCTCACGCATTTCCTAGCCACTTAATCACATCTTCTTCCCTCTCTTCTTCACTCTCTTGCTGCCTCTTTCCTCTCTTGTTGTTCCCTCCACCTCTTTCCTCTCCTGTTGCCTCTCCTCTCTCCTGCTCCCCCCCCCCCACCTCGCTATCAGCCAGCTAGGAGGACCAATCGACCTCCAAAGAGTCTCTGACAATTCCAAATGTCCGAGAATTGGTCCATTGAACGAGGCGAGGGTGTGTTTCGGCGGCCGCTGGTCGTCTGCGCAGGGTGTAGTGAGGTGTGTTGAAGGGGGGGTAGGGGTAGGGTAGTGAAGAGTGGGTTAGCCAATGTTTATTTTATTACAGTTATTATTGTGTGTATCTCTATCTCTCTCCATCTCTGCCTCTTATCTCTCTCTCTCTCTCTCTCTCTCTCTCTCTCTCTCTCTCTCTCTCTCTCTCTCTCTCTCTCTCTCTCTCTCTCTCTCTCTCTCTCTCTCTCTCTCTCTCTCTCTCTCTCCATCTCTGCCTCTTATCTCTCTCTCTCCATCTCTGCCTCTTATCTCTCTCTCTCCATCTCTGCCTCTTATCTCTCTCTCTCTCTCTCTCTCTCTCTCCATCTCTGCCTCTTATCTCTCTCTCTCCATCTCTCTTTTAACTAAGACTATGGCTCATCAGGAATGTCATTGATGTTCCTAGCTTAGATTAGAAGCTAAGAGTTGGTATCCTGCCTCTGTTCATCTCAAGCCTGATCCTAGATATTCATTTCACGAGCTCATTGCTACCATCAGGAATACACTTTATTAAGTGCCGAGTTACCATCGTGTTAGCTACTGGATGAGGCTGATAGCAGCTGTGTATCAGAGCCTTTATATGGTTCGTTGACTTCACGCGTGTCTGTGAGAATCAAAGTTGAATGATCGCTGATGGGGTGATGTTCTTAAGGCTAGGCCAGGATGAGGGTTTTGGTGGTAGAGCGTCTTGGGTTGTGACTGCCAACATCTGGTTGTCCACAAATTTGAGCCATGTGAGAAACCTTGAGGACCTGGGCTCGGATGTATTGACCAGTCCAACAGGTGTGGGTCAAGGCTAGATAAATGGTTGAGGGAAGCAGGGCTTCCAGGCGAGCGGTGCATACTCAAGATGGAAGCGGTCATATGGGAAGTTTTGTAACCTCTGATGACGAGAAAGTTTGAATATTTGCTATTGTGAGGTCCAGAACGTGACTCGTCATAGTCCACTGACAGAATCAAACTTGATTGTGTCCTGGGATTAGAAATCCTGTCGATCTATGACCAGAAATCACCAGACTTTGGATCCAACTCTTGGTGGTGTAAATTTTGTTCTTGATTCTCATTCCCAATGGGAAATGGCCCACTTTTGACCATGTTTGATTAGACGTTTGTGAGG